TTTGCCAACCATGCTGTTGTGATTAGCTTCTAAATGGCGCTTCAATTTACACTCTGTTGACAAAACTTTCCTACACAATACACATTGTGGTCTCTCTTCACCATTAATTTTTGTTGACGTGCAACCAAACTCTAAATAACTGTCATCATATTTACGATATTTTCGTTTCTTGACACTACCGCCACTGGTTAAAGGCATACTTTCTTTATCTGCACTATTACGTTTATAAATGTTCAAAGAGTCAAAAATCACAAAATTATTTATCATAGACAACAAACAAGAAGTAATATAACACTAACTAAATTACAATATGAACTAATTTACTAATTTATGTCACTGTTTATTTATATATGAAGCGCTGAGTTTAAATTCACTAGACTCAAATTATAAGTGGACTGACTGAATCGAGCCGGCAACGAAAGATCTTCCAGAACATTTCAAATCTGTCGCGAAGGTTCTACGCACCTCGACGTGTCTATTGCGATCATCTGGCGCGATCTAGAAGACGCAGTGTTTTCTCTCACGTTTTTGTTTAGTTGGGCCAAATGTCTGGGTTAAATTAATTATGAAGCTTTTACAATATTTCGCGGCGCCCAGTTTTAGAATCACTGACTTATACTATGGCAGAGGACACAGGTCTAGGTGGGTTCCACAAGGTCTCTCCCATGCTCCGACGAAGTTGCGAAAACGAGGTCAAACCACCACTAAACAGCTAGAGGAATCTTCGAACAAGCAGAAGGTCACATCGTCTTGGTCTTAATAGCTACAATATATTTATTAAGTGTATCCTCTCTTGTCTTCTGTTCGTTTCCATTCACTTCATTCGAATTCGCTTAGTTTAACCTTTCACCTCTTCGCTTCCGTTCCCTCTTCTCATATTTTCGCAAAACTTCACCAATCTTCATTTAACTGCTCTTTGCTACCCTACACTTAACATCAGTCTGAATGTTCCCTCTCATTTTTTTAACATATTTCTGTTTCACTTTTCTCTTTCATCTCCACTTCATGTGAGTTTACTTCATTTAGCTACTAATCGCGTTCTCTTTCATCTTACCCTATTTTCGCACCTCTCCTCGTTTTGGTTTTAGTACTCTACTTTTGGGCCTCTCAATCAAATACCTCCTTCCAATTGTACCATGCGAATCAATGCAATGACTTTACCCAATTTAGCGAGTTAGTCCAAATGTAGCCTGTGAAGTTAACTAGAATGTTCAGCTAAAAAGCAAATTGATGCAATCCCCTTTAATGCTGTACTTTATTCGAGGCTGAGTTGCGGTCGCTAACTGTCATATATCTTCCCCATTATATACCACATATTCCTTCCGTTCCATCGATCCGCCTCAAATCCCTTGCAATTCGTCCAGCGAATATGCATTTACAGGGACATGCTACGTCGGCTCATTAAAGCCGACTGCACGAATATACCGAAGTAAATGTGGAAGGTCGGAGAAAAAGGGAGACTACAGGCAGTGGAATGATGAGTGAAGTTTAAGGCCACACCCGAGGGGGCGGGGGAATGCTACCAGCTTTTCTGGCTGTGGGTTGCCATGCCTTGGAATTCGGCGTCATGTTAAACCCCTTCGATTTATTGACACTCTGGCGCCTGCCATAATAGGCGATTGGACGGAGTGGGAGTTGTACCATGGACGTGGGAGGGGGCTCGGTCTCAGGCCAGTTGCTGGTCCGGTTCGCATTGACGCATCGCCGGACAAGACGAGAAGCCGGCCTAGACTGCCCTCAGGTTGCCAAAGTCCAAGAGCGGAAAGGTTGGCTGGCTGAAGGGCCGAGCCGCCGTTCATTCCCAGTGGGCATCTTGGCAGGAATAGTTGAAAAGTGAAGGAGGAGCCGTGAGGTACGCGCAGGTCTTAATGTTATCTGAGCGGATCAAAGGTCAGTTGAAGTAAGAATTGAGCATTAATGTGGAACCTTGATGGCTAAAATGCTCACCCGATGTCTCATAAAGATGACCGATATATTGGGGATGGTGTTAGACAGTTTCAATTAATTATTGCTGCCACTTTCATTTTGAGTAAAAGTGCGTGATACAGAGATTTCAAAGTAGATTCTAGCAGAAGATAACGTCCAGCTGTCGATTGGCCTTTCTGCAGAATACTCGCTGATGCTGACCCAGAAGCCATATTCTTCGATTCCGGTGAAAACGAGCCAAGCTGTCGTCCATCATATGACGGACGTCCACAGCACAAGGCATCATGTTTCAACCATATTTAAGCTAGCAATCAGGTCAACTCACCGGTTTGTCCGAAAAAGGTCGTCTATATGCACTTTGATTGGGTATAAAGTGATTTGTTTAGCTCACGTTATATTTAAATCTAGAAGCATGTGTGTGTGTCTGTCTGTTTCTATGTGCCTATGCGCTTTCATGTGTACGTATGTGTACGAAACCAACACTGAGAGTTTAAGCAATTAGAACCGAAATTAACATATTTTCTCGGTTTTCAAACCCTAGAGGCCACCAATCCCATTCCTTTTTTATATATTTTACTCATCACTCCGAATGCGTAATGTCGGGCACACGTCTGGTTAAGATGATGGGCTTTCGCCTGCGTGCGAGTCGGAAAGAATAACTTAAAACGTATAACCAGCATGTTTTGACATTGAAGTGAAAGTACGGTGTAACTGAGTTAAGAAATATGTTGGCTCCTTTGCCATTCGGGTGAATGTGTGCTATGGTGAAATTCGCAGGTCGGTCGGCAAGATGGCGAACTTCTCATGATAATATGTGGATTGGATGTGCGGAAAATTTTTGGATCGTGCTGAGCTTTCGCCGAAAACCACTTACGACAAAAATAATCACAGCTGGCTCCCAATTTCACAACCAATTCAAGCCAACAAGTCGAGCAAC